AAACATGTTTTAGAATAAACAAAAGCGTTATTTGATACTAAGTAAACATTTGATTCGATGAAATGAATTCTGATCGAACCCATTAATCTCGTCGCCAATATGTCGCCTTTCTAGTGTCGCTCTAGATAATTTGATACTATGTATACTGATATATCATAGATACTGCCTTGGTTCATCGAATATGTCACAAAAATATATTTATCTACTTTAACGTTACATTTATAATAATTGTTTGTTTAAAGAACAGTGCAATTCAGTTACAAAATTAAAGACGTTTTTCTTATTTTATTTGCATATTCTATAAAGTACGTCTTAATATTTTTTGCATTATGAAATGTATCAGCTTTCAACATTAATTCGTATGTGCGATTTTCCCCCGAATGTGTATAAATATTTATTCGCATGGTGAAGGAAACCAAAACGTAAAACTTTAATGAAATAATTACAAGTTTGTATATTCTGTGGATGCGCTTACGGTGAAGTAGATTATTAGTTCGAAACGTAATTACAAGTTGGATATGTCAGTGAAAATAGCGGTTTGGTAAATTAATTTTAGATTATGTAAAAGTAGGTCATGAATTGATCGACATTATTTTTTTTATAATATGGTAATGCAGACCGCAAATTGCCTGTTAATATGTTAGAGGGAATTTAGAAACGAAATGAATATTGTAAGACTCGAGGGAATATTAAAACTTTAACTTTTATTGAATTCGCATTAATATTAAATGATTACAGTTTTCACCTACTTTTTTAAATTTAAATTATAGCATGACTACACAGTTATAGATATTTAGCATTACCGTGGAAATAATTTTCATAGTTACTTTAGTAGTTCAGATATAAAAATAAATTTAGCCTTACATTTTTGTATGTGTTTCATGATCATTTGTCAATCTAAAAGGCAAGTAGGTGATTTCCTGTGCCTGACACACGCCGTCGTCTTTTTGGGTTTAAGGCAAGCCGGTTTCCTCACGATGTTTTGCTTCACCGTTGAACGAATGTTAAATGCGCACATTGAAAGAAAGTATTGATACACAGTCATGGATCGAACCTACGACGTCAGGGATGAGAGTCGCACGCTGAAGCCACTAGGCTGAGTTCAGAGATACGTTCCACAATTTTACCAATATATTTGTTAAGTCGATAGGCTCACACAGAACATAATATCTATTTACTGTTCTGTATTGGAAATATTATCGTACACCCATTGCGAATGTGATGTCAACTGATTAAAAAAAACAGATATTTTTATGTTATGTATGTACGCGCATTTTTTATGTCTCAGTTCAGAAATAATTAAGAACATCGAAATGTCTATAAAAGATAAAATATCTCATGAAAAATCTGAAACTCGCGCAGAGTCGAAGCTATTCGATTATTCATCCATCATTTGTTAACTTGAATGAAAATCGATGAACGGATATTATTAGGACTGCAGCTTATAGCTCCATCATATCACAAAATATTGAGGATTATCTCACAAAGGAGTGGAACATTTTCAATATTCTGTGTCGCCTCAGAGTCCATATAATGTTCGTTGATAATTCTTGAACCATATTGGATATTAGTATGGGCTCTTTAAAAATTTTTCTGGCGTTTCATTTGTAGACTTTAGTGAGAAAATACCTTTCTTTGCGTTACCGCTTTTCTTAAATTGATTCTAAATATTTTTCGCCCGCATTTTATACAGATTTTAATCTCAATCAGAGGAGATAAAATCAGATTTTTGGACACTTGAAACCCGCTTCAATTAATCTTCACGTTGAATGAGTACTTACTTACTCATAATTTTTCTAAGATAACTCCAAAAGTTTATCTGAGATTTTTATCAGACACGGCGCTTAGTTATATCGTTTATAAAACAAAAACACTATATTAGTAGACTTTCTGCAACTGAAAAAAAAACATAAATGTGTGTATTACCTAAAATTAGTAAAATGTATATCCAAACTGGTTTAACCCTTGCCCTTGTTTAATCCAAGCTGCTCGTATGTTTTATAAAGTCCGAAAGGTTGGGACTGTTTTTATTGTTTATTTAAAAATCAAAACAATTAATTATAAATATTAGATACTTAAAAGATAATTATTTTATGTAAAGTAAATATATTATTCGTATATAAATTTGAATTATCGCCGGTTATTTATTTCAAAATTAACTAATTAATAATCTAACCTAATTTGAGTTCAAAGCCAGATTATATAATAGTATATACTTGTTCAAATTTTTTATTTATTCACACTTACATTTGTTACATAACATAATACATAATTATAAGGGATGCAACGGGCAGCTTATCGCTAACAAGTGATCTCTTCCAGACAACCCTAGTAAGGGATAACGCTAAAAAAAGAATATGATGGATTAAGTACAAGAAGTGCGTAAACTTATAAAACAAATTATAGAACCTTAATATAAAATAATACAAAAAATATAATAGAACAAACTAAAAACTAAAAAGCTAATCTCACGGATTCATGTATTGCGATGCAAAATACAAGAATTACCAAAGTCAAGAATGAGCAGGATCGATATGGTTAAAATTATGCTGTCTAAGAAACTAAGAAATTAAATTCTGTATGTAAGCAGAGCGCTCATTAGTGTTATTGTCTCGGCGTCCTTCGAACGACTGAAGCTGAAACACAATTTATTACGCGTCTAAGCCAGTGCAGAATGATTAATTACATTCTACCCTCGTTATGGTCCGCAATTTCTTCGATTAAGTCCAAGTTATACTTTGTTATATATACTTATTGAGGTTATGCTACATTATGTATAATATATTATTGTTGAGAGACAACAGAGAAGTACAGAGCAATGTTGGTCTAGTGGCTTCAGCGTGCGACTCTCATTCCTGAGGTCGTAGGTTCGATTCTTGTGCATCAATGGACTTTCTGTCTATGCTTGGAAATGTCTTGTATGCTAGGAAACCGGCTTGCCTTAGACAAAAAAATCGACGGCGTGACCTACTTGCCTTTTAGATTGACAAATGATCATGAAACAGATACAGAAATATGAGGGCCATACCTATAAAGGTTGTAGCACGACTGATTTTTTTTATAGAACAGGGGGCAATATATATATATATATGGTCTACATGTAATTTTCGTATTACGAGATATAATGTTGTTTATTTCAATTTAAAATCTGTAGGTACTGAAAAAGGAGGGCTTCGATTCCTATTTGAATAACTGATCGTTGAAGATAAATTTGTACCATTTTTGACACACTCATATACGTCAATGAGTGTGGTTGTCTAAATATACTATACAAAATAAAAAAAGCAAACCATAAACTTATGTTTCTTATACAGCAAATTAAATATGTAAAAAAAGATTTTTATAAGCTTTGTACTGTGTAATAAATTTGAATTGACCTTTAAGAAGAAAAATCATAAAATCGTCTATCTGTTAACGCGTCGTTATCCGTTAAATACCCAATCACAATATAGATAAAACAATAGCCCGTCAGAGTTATTGATCCCCATACGTCCTGTCACCTTGACCCCAAGCCCCGGGGTCTTCATAAACACCCCTTATCATTCACGATTTTATCCCTATTGAAATTCCTACGCCCCAAGGAATTTCTCTTTTATTTGCGCGAAATCTTCGTGAGTAATTGAATTTTAAGAAGAATTTATGATTGTACTTCAAGGCTTAGAGGTTAACGCGCATGTATTACCTGTAGGATTGTATTAATTGACTTAAAGGAATATTAATAGAATAGATGTTTACTGTCATCCATTGAATATCACTTCAAATATTCACCTTTTAAAATAGGTTTGGAAGTCGGATGTCGGCCTAGCAATACCATTATTTTAAGAAAAACGAAAAGTTATTTAGAGGGAAGTTAAGACATATCATTTTACCTTTTTTTTATTACATCATCATATAAATATCGACTATGTTATATCATATCATAATATATGGCTATAGGTGAGGGCTGGAAGTCTTCCACGCTCCGCTTCACAAGACATTTTATTTTGCGAACTAGTGAACTGTGGAATCGACTTCCGATGGCGTTCTTCCCTGGGAGATACGTCCTCAAAGGCCGGCAACGCACCCACTAAAAACTGATGACTGCCCTTTTTGGGCGCCCTGTAGGCACGTTTGCCCCTATCCTATAAAAAAAGACATTATTGTTTAACACGCACTACAACTCCATTGGAGATAGGCACGTTTTGCAGATAGAAGATGGTAAAAAAGGGTTGCTGAATGGATCAAAAGGAGAAACAAGGGTAGGCCAAAAGACTGACGGGCCGATGAGATTTAAAGAGTAGGCGGCAAAATTGGATGTTGACACCAAAAGATAAATTGGGTGTCAATGTACTGAACCCAAAGGAGAAACAACAGCAGGCAAAAAAAATTCTGATAGGGCCTATCAGATTTTTTTTTAGATAGGCGGATGAGCTTGAAAGAGTAACTGGAAGAATTGGATGCTGATACCAAAAGATAAAATAGGATGGAAAACGTTGGAGGAGGGCTTCTCCGTGGGGTTGCATCTTAGAATAACAAAATTGTATAATGTATATTTTTTTGTATATTATGTAAAGTAGATAAATAAAGACTTATGATAAAAAAATATTTAATTTATTTCCAACACACAAATATACAGTATTTACAATATTCCTACATAATAATAATTAAAAATTTATAAACAGAAAACTAAACAAATTTAAAAATTTTGGTACCTGTGGCAGTGTACTTTATCAGTGGCAGCATTTTTTATTATTATTGTACTTCCATTTCATTTAACTGTTACTGCAAACTAACTTCTTAATGCCAGCAGGGAATAGAGAGTACCAGACCGTGTTGGCAGATGTTCGCGAAATATTCTATTGTGACTTTTTCTTATTACGAATGAATTGTATTATTACTAACATTATTGCTTGTATTTTTCATTAGTCATATTCATTGCGAGTGAATTGCAATATATCCTTAACTACGTAGCGCATTTTCAATACCTAAATTCTTGAATTTTCTATTCCATGATCAGCAAGATGGTGGTATTCACACGTATAACACCCGAGATGGGTGATGCTGTGTTGAAACATCTCCGTGACAGCTTCTTTGCTGATGAGCCCCTCAACAAGGCCGTGGGGTTATGCGAGCGTGGACAACCACATGCTGAATTGGAGAGACTCTGCACAGCCACTATAGCTGATGGACTATCTGTTGCTGTGCTTGAGGGAAACACGGTGAGTTGCCAAACTTAAAAATACTCATGCGTTTTTTCGATACAAAGAGTCTCCTTGGGAGTTGTGTGCTGCGATATTGCGGGCTACTCGATTGTGAGGAAGTTGCATGGATCTGGTTAGCGCTGCGCCTTCTGAAGTTCTCATGTCATGTTCATACGTAAGGATTGTCCTCATTCTAACAGGGTGTAATGATTGAGAGCTTAAATAAAATAAAATCGAAAAGACAGTTTTAGCAAACTTGATCATCAGATTGGTGGTATCTTTCGAAGTTTCTGGACAAAAGGTTAATAAATAGTGAGAACAAGTATGGTTTAGATTGTTTAATAAAATGTCGAGTTTATTTCTTAGCCAAGTGAGACTAGTGTACAAAAATCCAGAGGTTTTTTATCCTAATATTCATAGAAAGTAATTATACGAAAGAAGACATTTCTGTTATATCCATGGTATGGTTAAAATATATCAGTATTTTACTTAATTGACGTCACGCAGGCAAAAAAAGTTCGGATACTACCTGTAGCAGATTTTTCATCTTCGGTTGTCGAGGCAGAATACGGAATTCCACCCGTATCACCTCGACGTCCGTCGTTCCACAGACCACAGCTGAGCGTTTTAAGGCAGTTTGTGCCGCGCACCACCACTATGTGGAACCAGCTGCCCACTGAAGTTTTTCCGAACCAATTCGACTTAGAATCCTTCAAAATAAAGCGTATCAATTCTTAAAAGGCTGGCAACGCACTCGCGATTGGTCTAGCATTGAGAGTGTCCATGGCGGTATCACTTAACATCAGCCTCCTGCCCGTTCTATTAACAAAAATTTACAAACCTTTTAAATTTTTAATAATTCCAAATTAGGCATAATGAATATTTATACGAATATTTATGGACGAAGACACATTAACAATAATTAGCAGCAATGTTATTGTCACGCAGGTTTTAGGCGTGGCCCTGAATGGAATTTTGTGACCCGGAGACATTGAGAAATCGATGAGGAAAATTCATAAGTCCACCGATGAAAAGTTTAAAAAGGTATTTATTAATCCAATGGACATTAAAATGTTTCATACTATGACCAAAATATAAAAAATAATATTAGTTCAATAAAAACATTTTCATACGTTCGGTCATCTACACATTTTCTTTTCTGCATCTTCATCAATAATAATAATTAAAAATTCAGATAATTTTACATTTTAATAAGTTTCTATTTCAATCTTCTTTTAGGTATCTGTGTGCCCCTTTTTGTCAAAGGGCTCCTCAAAATCCCGCCATTCTTCTCTGCACTGTGCAACTCTCTGCCATGTACAACCTGCTGTTTCTTTAATCTGATCTATCCACCTTCTAAATTGTCTTCCTCTTTTTCCTTGGGCACCAACTTAGTACTATTTTGCTCCTCTTGTCATGTTCCCCGCCCATATCAAGTTTATTTATTTTTATAGTAATCTTATTGTCATCTGTTACCTTACTTGTTTTTCTTAAAGCTGTATTCTTTATTTTGTCTTTTCTTTTCTTCCCTACATCTTTAACATACTGTAGGTTTATATGCTGCGCAGCGTATGTATAATATAATAATTATCTGTGTTTCGAATTACAGATCTTCACAATTCTATACACGGTGAGCGACGACCTGGATCTGTTTAGCACTTACCAAGTGGACTGTCTTCTTGAATGCCGTATCATCTCAGTGTCGGAAAAGGCACGTGGTCGTGGACTGGCCAGGGAACTCATGAAACGGAGCATTGAGATTGCTAACGAGAACAATTTTAGGGTAAATTTTTGTATTTCTAAAGAAAATGTAATCGGTGTTCTATCCGTTTAACTTCTCCTATTAAAGCAAACCTAGGCCTTTAACTCTGCAAGTACCACTAGCTATAGCGATACCTATCAGATGTCTTTGTATGCTAACCTGGGTATTAAAGGCGTTGAATATAAGAACATTATTGAATTCATTAATTGAGCGAGTAAGGCTATGTATAACACTTTAACACTAAAGAGCGGGAACTAACCAAAATCACTCATCGTAGATTTGATTTTATCTAAGTATGTTTAATTAAAAACAATAAAAATGCATTGATTCTTGACTATATAAATGTTGTAACAAACGCTAACGGCTAGGCTGTTAATTGAACGGCTAATTAAGCTAGTTGGTTAATGTTAGGTTACATAACTCGTGTTACAATTTATTTTGAATAGTGTAAATAACATTTTTTTTCTCAGGTGTTCAAGGTGGATGCGACTGGAGCGTTCTCTCAACGCATTTGTAGCAGCTTGGGTCTACGCGTGCTACACAAAGTGCGCTACGCCGAGTATTTGAATGTATCCGGAAAACCCGTCTTTAGCGTCTGTCCTCCACATGATTCTCTTTGTGTTATGGTCTTAGAATTACCATAAACAAATCTGCATAATATACGATTGTTGGACTATGTTTTTGAAAAACGAACGCATCACTGCTTGATTTTTACAAAGCACATCTAGACATCAAATCTTTACTGTAATAGCGATTTGATGTCTAGATGTGCTTTCAATATTAATTCTGCTCGTAAAACCAATTGTAATAAATTTAAAAAAAATGTAATTGTGTTGCCACTAAAAATTTGATGATTCTAACCACAAAGCTCCAGTTCCATGTTGTTCCTTGGAATTACGTTTTAGGAAATTTTAATACTGAGAATATTAGTTCCGTTCTTTGTTAAACGTGAACCTCTTTACAAAATCCCTTAGTTTATTCATACATAAGCTATTCAGTCTACACTTACCAAGAAAACTACTTTTCAATTAAATTAATTTTCTTACTCATATTTTTAGAAGGTTCGTATTTACGATATGAAATAGATTGACACTTGAATGTTGACTTTTACATAATTCAATAGATTTTCACCAAATTTTGAGAAAACTTTTAATCTTAAAACTCAATGTTTGTAGTCTTAGGCTAAGTAATATACGTATTGATGTTCATTAAAATCTTGTGAGGATGCATATTTAATCCTTAAATGACTCTTATAAAACTGTTACAATCTACCAATTAACGTTTTCACATTTTAAATGTCCAAAATTACTTGTTTTGTTTGTAAACGATTAGAATATGTTCAGAGAATCTATTTTTTAATAACTATTATATATTTGAGTAGCTCACTTTTCTAAAATATTTACACACTAGGTCCCTTATTCATAAACGTATTATGCTTAAAATATCTATATATTTATATAAACTAAAGTCTATTTCCACTCTTTGGCTAAAGAAATTGTTCGTCCCTTTCTATCAAATTGTGTTTACGCTATTATAAAACGAGACAGATGACTTACATTATTACGGTGCACTATTATTTTTATGAATACATGTGTGTAAATGGTAGTCCTCAGCGAAGCACACACTTATATATATTTTCCTCTTTAATATATTGTTACAACTTGTCAATAATTTACTTTTATCTCTGGTGTATATTTTGTATAATTTTGGAAAGCGATAAAATATAGACTTGACTGGCACTGTCGGCCGTTCAAGTACAGACTGAGGTTAATATCTGAAAATGCGCGCTACACCAACAACATGAGAAGAATAATTGAAAACATAATATTTTCATTCATTTAGGCCACTTTACAATTTGAACACAAAAGGGCACTGACATTTTTGAATGAAAAATAACTTAGGTTTCATTTGTTTCGAAATAAGATCGTAGGTTTATTTATTTACTTTACTTCTGAAATCCATATGCTAATATTATAAAGAGAAAAAAATTGTTTGTAGTGGATAAATTCTAAAGGAATTCTATAAGATCCGAGCACTCTTGAAAAATGTTACTAAATTCATAATGAACTATTCAGTTCGTTTATTGAATAACACTTCAGATTAAGGACTATATATGTTTATACTATATGTTTTTAATATTGTAATATCCAAAATATTATGTGTAGCCTATTTAAGAGGTCCCGATTTCAAAACCTTGGAATGAATCTTTAATAATATATTTCTGTGTGTTTAAATCTAAATGTACCTATTCTTATATTAATGTATACACAACTATGTGGTAGTAGTAGAAAAAGTGATTAAATGTGTGTTGAAAATGTATACAAATATAAATAAAAACAAATTGTTTTTTTCTTTTAAAAGTGAGGTAGTGGTAGTGGGTTTTAGAATGTGGTAATTCCTCATTTCTGGAACTATAAAAAAATATTTACAAAAATAATAAAAAGTTATACCTCTACCAAAGCTACCTTTCTTCAGCTAGTAGAACCTATTCAATCGGTTGTTTTCGTAATACAGGAAGTACGCAAATAAAACCCTTCCTTTATAATACAATTTCCCAATCTATGGATTCTGAGATAGTGAAACTATCCAGATACAAACTCACATAAAAATTACGCTAGCCAAATTGGAATTCCAATGTACAGCAACCTTCGTACATACATATATCTTGCCAGAGCTTTGAGGTTCCAAAAACACACACCCACACTTACACGCTTTTAATAATTTTAATTTAATAAACCTATTTTAAACAAAACTTTAACTAATATAAACGCGAATTTTTTTACATTATTCACATAACTTGACATTTTAATTAATGTGTGTTATATAAATATTTTATTTATACATTTTTTGTACGATACTTGCGTAACAAGAAGAGACATCTGTATTATTAGCCGCGTCCACACCGAACGATCCAAAATGGATCGGCGATCCCGCGATCTGCGATCCAAGATCGCGAAGCGTGGAGCGTGCATCGTACTAGGCCGATCAAACAGCAATCTTTTGCGATCCTGACTGGCTAATCCAACACGCTCCAGCGGATCCATACTGTATCAGTTGAACTTTGTCTGGCTATGGAGTCACATTGGCAACAACGGCAAAAAATAGCCGCTGCGCGCATAGATCGGCTCGTCTACACCGCCTGCACATTTGGATCGCGCTCATGCCGCGAGCGATCGCATCGCGATGGATCGGTCGGTTTGGACGGGCCTACAGAACACTTCTAGGAGCATTTTGTACTCAAGTCTTGAGCAGTTTTAACAATGAATTTGAAGATGTATTATCATCTTTACCAGCAGCCTATATTGATACCACTATATATGTACTATATATTTTTCTTCTAACTTTCAAAATATTTTCACGGATATAATAATGTAATATTTATGCTAACACAGTCTTTAATATATCTGAAAAAGCGCCATCTGTATTCAAATTGACTTATTATTATTGCCACGAAAGCATTTGTTTTTGTAGATTACCTTAAGTAACACTTTCATTCGTAGGTGTCATCATACACACACAATTAGGAATTATTTTACAATCTCCGTTATTTTCGAATAGGCTTTATACTGAAGATTGTAACCAGTATTTAACGACTAGCTTTTACAACGATTTTTTGATGTTTCAGTAGCACAAGTACAATAATGGCTGCCAAAATGTTAAAAACCTACGACTCCTAGCGGTCCTCATTGATTTTTCAGAAGTAAATCGGTCACGATTGACTTAATGCGTTTCGTTCGTTTTAGCCTGTTGACGTCCACTGCTGGACATAGGCCTCTTACCTTAAATTTCCAGTACTACCGGTTTCCTATGCTTTGCATCCAACGCCTTCCTTCCACCCTTACCAGGTCAGATGACCACCTACTAGGAGACCGTCCAATGCTTCGCTGACTGGTCTTTGGTCTCCATTCCAGGACTTTTTGCATCGGCCACCCATTCTTCGGAAATTGTGTCCTTACCTATTGCCATTGTACGCTCTCTTTGCTATCTCAGAGACTTTAGTTATTCTACGGTTATCTTCACTTCCAATTCAATCACGTACAGAAACACCGACCGCAGCCCTCTCCGTAGCTCGCTAAGCGAAGTGGAGCTTTGTACCAGGCTTCGAGTAATAGACCAAGTCTCAGAGCCGTAAATCATGACTGGACGCACTGTTTTGACGAAGACTTTTGTCTCAATGTCTTGGTCATATCATTAATTACAATTAAATTCGACGAGGTTAAATAAATAAATATAGCCTTTATTGACAATCTTGTAATTTACATTTTATCTACTTTCTACTTATTAACGAAATATAAACTAGTTATTAACGAAATTTGGTTAAAGTAAATGTAAATATTATCATATTATTTCCTATTAGACACTGGCTTCTTGATCGACGATCGACGAGGTTACAAAAGACTAAAAAAGTATGAACAAACAAGAAGGTTTTCTTTAGTTGGTGCTAGAAAAAGTTGTTTATATTGATGTTGTGTACAAAAATTATTAATATACATAACTGTTAAAACGTTTATACATATTGTTACAAAGCGTCTTAAGAAAGTAAACATTAATTATAATTTACTAAAACTACGATACCATAGAATTCTCAGAGTACGATTTGTTCTAGTTGCAACTTTCTCCATTCGCAGAAACAAAATCTACAAATAAAACGAGTATATAAATCTATTTTTAACTTCAATTTCTTAAAAAAACAAAAAGTGTAATATAATAATAGGTGTGAAAACGGAATACCTTTCTATTACTGATTACTTGTAAGAGGTAGTGAAATTTAATTAGATATAACAATAACATACACGTTGACATTACCATGTTCTTGTTCTAAGTGATTGAAAACTAAATGAATAACGTAAAATAAAAGTCATCCATTTATTTCTTAGCGTTGATATTCTGGAAAGATGTATGATAAATTTTAACTGGCGCCACACAGTCGCACAAACACTGGTGACTGGGAGTCTGCCAAGAATTGATTGAAATATACGCTTCACCAATACTTTTGACTTTTGAGAACTGCACAACATGATTTATCTAAAAGCCTTTTGTAGCTTGAATATTAAAGTTCAACTTACGAAGATTTTTCAGTATAATATGTCGATTTTGTTAGTTATATTTATACTAAGCAATAGATTTTTTATTATTTAAAAAGGCCATATAATAAAAATAAAATAAGACGTCTTGGTCTAGTGGCTTCAGCGTGCGATACTCATCCCTGAAGTCGTAGGTTCGATCCCCGGCTGTGCACCAATGGACTTTCTTTCTATGTGCGTATTTAACATTCGCAAGAACGGTGAAGGAAAACATCGTGAGGAAACCGGCATGCCTTAGACCCAAAGAGTCGACGGTGTCCGGCACAGGAGGCTGATCATCTACTTGCTTCGACAAATGATCATGAAACAGATACAGAAATCTGATGCCCAAATCTAAAAAGGTTGTAGTGCCACTGATTTATTTTTATTATAATAATAATATACTAATAACGTAAATCTTTTACGATTTCCTAAGATAGGACTGTCATGAAAGCACTTCAGCGGGCTCCACAATTGATATTTTAGTATATATATTTGCATTACATCTCCAAAAAAAAAATTACACACAGTTTCGAATATCATCATTACGATTGTAATTAATATTGAAACTATATTTGTAG